TGGGTAGGTTTAAGGGTGGGTTAAGGTGTAAGGGATGGGTCAAGAGTGTAATTATAAATGTAATTACAGAAGTTAATTACATGCAGATATTTTTCAAATATAAGTACAATGTAAAAACATGTATGTACACGATAAGTGCATTGTACCAAATGATTAATTTAAATTAATTAAATGTAAGTACATAGTAGTTAAGGCCACTTAATATAAAGTGGGACCAAATACAGTAAATAGTCTGCTACTGTATATTTATTTTTGACTAGGCCTAATATTTTTATGCCAGGCTTTACAGGGTTAATATTATACATGGCATTTATCCCATTGGAAATTAAAATATCTTATACTGATATTTTATTTCTTATTGGAAACTATTTCTTTATTCGTGTCTTGTAGGAAATACTGTTATTCACAACAACAAGAACAGAGTTGTTTCCACAGACTTAGCAATTATTTCCTGTGGCAACACTCATATTGTCATTTTATTGTTGATGACCACAATATTCTTAAATTGGGACCAAACTGATGTACTGTGCATGTGACTAATCCTAATCGCACTGCTCCAAGCGGGATTCAAACCAGCAGTCCGTCACTAATACGCCTCTTGAGGCCAGGGGAGTGAGATTTACCTGTGCTGCATGTGCTTACTGCTTACACTATTATGTACTCTGCCATCTAGTGTATGCATTTAAAGGGGTCATATGATGCTTTTTTAAAGATCATTATTTTGTGTATTTGGTGTAACAGAATATGTTGACATGATTTAATGGGGGGCGTGGCAGAGTCTTAACTTTGATAAAGAATATCTCTTTGGTTTTGAGACTTTAGTCTTTGCAACTTCTGGGATCTTATCTATGCACAATCAGCTTGTAACACTCCAAAGAGAAAGGAAAACGTGAAATCGCATCATATGACCCCTTTAAGATAGATATGAAGGATAGTGTGTCTCTAATAGAACTCTTAACATTTTCATTTTTCAAACAAAATTACATTTTAACCTGATATGATGCTGTTACATTTCGGTACTCACCTTCCGCTACTTTACTTTACTTTATTGTCCTATTGTAAAAAAAGGTACAGAAGCTGTCACTGGGGCAGTACCTTTTCAAAAGGCACACCTTTGTACCTAAACAGTCCATATCGGTACCTTAAAGATACATATAAGTACCTAAAGTGTACATATTAGTACCTAAAAGGTACAAAGGGGTACCTTTTGTAAAGGTACCACCCCAGTGACAGCTTTTGTACCTTTTTTTCCTGAGAGTGTAGGTAGCAGTATACATACAGCAACACAACACAAATCAGCTTGTCTCCCAGTCATATACTACATAGGAAAAGCTACAGCTATTATATATATTATAACTACTATATGAGTGCATTAAAAATGGGTCACCCAGCTAAACACCACCTTGGCCAACTGGGAGAGCATCTTAGCCAGCTAAGAACAGCAAATCAGGCTGGTTTAAGCAGACATTTAGTCACAACTTTTATTCACAAATATATTTTCGTTCAATAAATAAATAAATATATAAATATATATATATATATATATTATGACAGCTGTCAAGTGGGAGAAGAGCTTTCTCAAAAGTTGATGCTTCCAGCGTCATGGTTTCAAAAAAGATGTGAAATGAAAACACAACATACAACAGTTGTACTAAAACAATAGGCTATACTAAATAGAAAAATCAAATGTATAATTTGTAAGACTCTGACAAAGATGTGAACAATTTTTACTAGTCAGAAACTCATAATTACATAATTCCATCATGTGAATAATGACTCAAATATCATCTAAAATTTATGCTGAAATCAATAAAAAAACTGATTTTTTTTTTTTTTTAAATACCTCCATAATATAGGTTAATAAGCCTATCTGTAATAACCAAATCGAGTTATATTATAATCTAATCTTACTTCTCAAAAGTGTATTTAGTTTTTCTGCCATTAACCTTATCTGTAGCCTACACACTGATTTCATAAATGAGGTTGTTGTATCCTAGCCTGTTTACTAATATGACTCTAGAGAAAAGACCAGTCATCTATGTACAACAACCGTTAAAGTTATTTAGTCATCCCCCTCAATACACTCACTCAGACACACGGTCCGGTTTCCTCCCCCCGCCAACGTGCTTCTCGCACCGCGCGCGCGTTACGTATGAGAGATTCCGTTGCTTCCCGCGTCCGTGGGCAGCCGGTGCTGGACTATAAACGCTCCCGGGATGCGCGTCGCTCCTCAGTCGCAGACTCGCAGTCGACTCCAGCACCAGAGCTGACCGTTAGAGCAGATAGCAGCTCGCGCTCAGGCTAACTCGCTCTCGGTTTGGATTTTGGGATGGAAACTCGTGCGGCTGCGCGGAGCGCTCGCGTCTCCAACACTCTTACCTTCAAGAGTAAGTACCACCTTTTTATTGTAATTAGTAGTTAATGTTTAATGATTGTGCATAATTTAATTTGAAGCGTAATATAGACATTATTTACATGTATTTTTGGTTATATTGAACTTAAAACATTTTTTTTTTAAATATGTTTGTATTAGATATGTATTGATGTACACGTACAAAACATTAAATCAACGTTATATTTTGAATTTTACAAGCTGCAAACATAAATATAAATATGTAGCAATAAATGCGTAACAAACAAAAGTAGTGATAACTATCTCTACTTTTGTTTGATATACATTTACTGATACATTTATATTTTATAACATATACAACATACAAAATACATAAAAAATACATGATATGTATAAATAAAAAATAAATAATATATACACATTTTTGTACATGTTTACATTGTAGCGTTACATTTTTACATTTTCCATTTGGAGTCCCAGTTTGGTCTGACCTCAATACAGCAACTTCTGATTAATCCATAAGTGTAATGCGACTAGACAAACTATTTTTAATTAACCTCTTTGATGTAACCAGGATAAATATAGAATAAGCAATCATTTCTTAACATTGAGAAACTTACAAAGCTACTGTTAACAAAAACGGGTATGCAGTTACGCAAAAAGGTAACACAGTTACATTTACACCGTACAATTTTCCACATTAGTCCTGTGCAGTGGATTAGTAGATCTTGTCCTGGAAGGGATGTGGAGTGACCAGGTCATGGGTCAGGTAATAGGAAAATCTTGTGCAGGCAACATGAATGCACACAGCATGATTTATTCAAACCATGCATGTCTTTAAGCGCCATGTTATTGTGTAGAGTCACCGATCCCTGTGAGGTCCCCTCTTAAATATTCATGAGCTGCAGTAATTGAATCGGGTTCGGTTTCACAAACCTGAAATTAATCTGGCCGTTTTGTTTCATGCACTCTTAGGCACTGTTCTGTTCTGTCCTGGATGGCCATGGACAGAGGGTGTCTCTGACTGGACAGAGAGTCTTTCCTAGAACTGCTTTCTTCAAGCGGAATAAATATGGATATTACTTAACCCAGCAATGATATCTCAAATAGCAGTTGTTATATTGTATTTAATCCGCCATGATAAATGACAAATTGTTTCCTTATGTCTGCATCACTCCAGAACTTTAAGAAGACGTGGAACAGCTTATTCTCAAATGTGAACAAGAACATCATGTGAAGTCTACCTCTTTCTCACTCCACAGGTGGTTTGTCTCTTTGGTTGGTGATATGGTTGTTGGCATGCCGCTGTGCACCGGGTCAGGCATGTCCCAGGTTGTGTGTATGCTACCATATGCCCATGACTGTGAGCTGTCAGTCTCAGAACTTCACTGCTGTTCCTGCCGGCGTGCCCTACGACTCCCAGCGCGTTTTCTTGCAGAACAACCGTATCACTGAGCTCAGAGCTGACTCCTTTGGCTTCGAAACACAGGTGAGAGCATATCTGTAAGTAAACATCATGATGAATCTGTTTGTGTAAAGATTTGCAGCAAGCAGAGATTTACCTTTGTCTTTACATTCTGAATCTTTAGGTCCTATGGCTGTACTCCAACAACATCACATGGATCGAAGCAGGTGCATTCAGTAATCTGCATGTACTAGAGGAACTAGATTTGAGTGACAATCCATCACTGCGCAGGCTGGATGGGGGTGCGTTCAGGGGGCTGGAGCGCTTGCAGAGTCTACACATGCACCGCTGCCACTTGACCGAGCTGCCCGCTGACCTCTTCCACAAGCTCTACAGCTTGCAATTCCTCTACCTGCAGGAGAACCAGCTGAGCCACCTTCCAGAAGGCCTCTTTTCCGACCTGGTCAACCTCACCCACCTGTTCCTGCATGGCAATCGTATCCGTGTCCTGTCTGAAAATGCCTTCCGCGGCCTGGTGAATCTTGACCGCCTGTTGCTGCATGACAACCGCATCCGACAAGTCCATCGGCGAGCCTTCCGTGACCTGGGCAGATTGACCATCCTCTATCTCTTCAACAACTCTCTGCAGGAGCTTCCAGGCCAGGTGTTGAAGGATACGTCGTTGGTGCAGTTTCTCAGGCTCAATGGTAACCCCTGGACCTGCGGCTGTGAAGCCAGGTCGCTATGGGAGTGGTTCCGCAAAGCTCGGATCTCCAGCTCAGACCTAACATGCTCTTCACCAGCCCCTCGTAAAGGCCAGGACCTGAGGTTCCTGCGGGAGCTGGACTTTGCCCTCTGCCCGTTACCTGACCCAGGATCCCTGGCTGGCACTACAACCACCACCTTCAGCACCAAGACCCGTTGGTGGTTCTCCAAGAACAAACCGGCCTCATCATCCAAGAGCCACTTTCACAAGAGCAGCGAGACCTTGAAGGCTTTTCCATTCACCTCTGTCAAACATCCCTCATCTTCATCATCCAAGTACGATCTCACAGTAGAGGAGGCTGCTTTACCCAAGCTAGAGCCTGAAGAGTACTGGGCAAACTATGGCAATGAGGATGCAGCCTCAGTCCGCTGTTTCGAGCTTGAATGTCCACCAGGTTACGACTCTCCCATTCTCCCATCTTCCTCTTCGCCTTCACTTCTGTCCTTCCTCTCACTCACAGCACTTACTCTCTCTTTTCACCTTCTCTTCAGCTGAGTTTTCCTTCTCCTCCTCTTCTTCTTCTGTTATGCTCCACTACCTTTCTCCTGCAATTGGGCTTATGCTAATAAATGCATAGAAGCAGCCATGCAGGAAAGGGTGACAAGACTGGCACACAACAACAAATTAAAGACAACACACACTGTGCAATTCATACAGTACAACAGTGATAGGGCTACTGCATGCATGCACTGCCAGCAGGCTTTGCAACACCGCCTCAAGTCACGTCCTTCTCTAAAATCAGAGAACACAGGACACGTAGAGGGGCAAAGAGAAAAAAGGCAGTGATGTGGAAAATTAAACTAGAGGTCAATGCCAAAGATGGCAGGGAAAGTTTCAACATGGAGAGGAAAAGTCTCATGCTGACAAATGAGCTTACGTCAGTTATCAAATTACCGTCACATCATCATGTAAATAAGAACATACACAAACTAGACATACTTTTCCAACAGGAGACTGTCAATAGATTAGAGAGTAGATCTATTTGTCTTTTTGGTGAATGCTGGGTACTAAACCATACACTATCACATACAGTGGCTCCAAAAAGTATTTAGGCACTTATGCTACAATGTCCAAATTTCACAAAATGTCCAAATTTCACAAAAAGGTTTATTAGGCTTAAAATGATAAAACAATAGAGATATTGTATTTGGACACATTCTGATTTTCAAAATGAAATGTGCATAGTTGAAGCGATTAACTAAAAGCAGATGCCATTTGCTTTGATATTTTATTTCCTAATGCAATGACATTTTTAGGAGTGGCTTAAATGTCCAACCATTTTTGGGGCCACTGTAAACGATACGATGAACAGATAGCTAATGGAAGAACTGACTAATAAAGACTGTCGCTAATGTTTTTCATTTGTTAAAACCGTGTTAAGTACTTTGGTTTGTGTTAGTTAATCTGAGTCGTGCCACCTGAGTATCATGTGAAGTTAGGGCAGGAAGTCAATGTTTAATTCAACCTGAAGAACTCAGGAACTGCTTGAGGTGAGAGATCTGTGTTTTCTCTGTGTGTAAGATATCACATAGTCTTTCTCTCTGAGCAAGTTAAGAGAAGGAAATGTCAAACACAAACGTTGTCTTTGTCTAAAAAACAACTTGTAAATAAAACCACCATAAATAAATATTCATTATTATAAAGTGTTTTATTGAGTGCTTTCTTGTTGCAGTATTTGATCTGTTGGTATGTGGGTGTGGGTGTGGGTGGGTGTGTTAACTGAGCAGATGGTGATGGAGAGGCAATTAGATTTTTAAATCTTACCCCAATGTTAAAATGGCTAAAATACAGTTTTTAAGTCCCTAACAGAGCATTCAGTTAGCTGCCAGTATGCATGTAAGAGACTATTCCACTTAGTTAATAAACACAAGCTAACATGAATATATAAACTGATAGTCATTTCTCTATTATTTAGAATTTCTCACCTGATAAGTCACTAGACAACACCCTTCAGCAATACAACAATACAAGTAATCTAAAACCCCTAGAAGGTGTATTGCTCAGAGGTTAATCTTTCATAGCACATTTAATGTCATGGACTTTGATGTTTAATTTAGGAATCAACTTTATCTCTGATGTTTTCCCATACATTTCTTAGGAGAAATAAACTAAACGAGAAAAACAATTACTAAAATAATATTTATATGAAAAGGTATGATAATGATAATGCAAATGACAATCTGGCCATTACAAAGAGACACTTTGAAGAGAACAGATCATTTTCTTGGGATAAACAGGAGACTTAAGCAAACTCTCCATTTACTCAATTTAATCTCAATGCTGTCTAGGAGTAACAACTGAGGTCATAAATAGATCTTTCATACGTCCATATGTGTGCATACAAACTTTCAAAATAACGACTGGAAATTTCTCCTCTGAAGACGCACTCGCTCTATTCTTCCACAGAATGCTGTTTGTTCTAGGCTTTCTGGTGTATTGCTCAGAGGTTAATCTTTCATAGCACATTTAATGTCATGGACTTTGATGTTTAATTTAGGAATCAACTTTATCTCTGATGTTTTCCCATACATTTCTTAGGAGAAATAAACTAAACGAGAAAAACAATTACTAAAATAATATTTATATGAAAAGGTATGATAATGATAATGCAAATGACAATCTGGCCATTACAAAGAGACACTTTGAAGAGAACAGATCATTTTCTTGGGATAAACAGGAGACTTAAGCAAACTCTCCATTTACTCAATTTAATCTCAATGCTGTCTAGGAGTAACAACTGAGGTCATAAATAGATCTTTCATACGTCCATATGTGTGCATACAAACTTTCAAAATAACTTGACTGGAAATTTCTCCTCTGAAGACGCACTCGTTCTATTCTTCCACAGAATGCTGTTTGTTCTAGGCTTTCTGTTCGGCATTGTTCTGCTGTCTTGTGTGTCAATCACTTGCATTCAGGCATTCATGAGCTGGCCATTCATTCATCTCTCGTTTCCTAAATCTCACCATCTCCTTATACGCTCTCTCCAGATGGTTCTGTTTGCATGGACGTGTGTTGGCGTGGCTGTGATGTGCATCATCAGTTGTGTGTCATGCCTGAGAGGGTACAAGTGCAGATGGAGTGCACATTAGTTAATATGCATCAGATGGAGTGTACACTAGTGAATATGCATCAGATGGAGTGTCCACTAGTGAGTGAATTAGAGGAAGTGTACACTAGTGAATATTTATCAAATGGAGTGTACACTAGTGAGTGCATTAGATGGAGTGCATCCGATGGAGTATACATGAGTGAGTGCATCAGATTGAGTGTACATTAGTGAATATACATCAGATGCAACGTACACTATAGTGAGTATACATCAGATGTAGTGTACACTAGTGACTATTCCATAGATGGAGTATACATTACTGAATATGTATCGGATGAAGTATACACTAGTGAATATTTATCAAATATACACTAGTGATTGAATCTGATGGTGTGCTCACTAATCAATTTGTATGAGCTTGAGTGTAAACAAGTGATTATTTATCAGATGGATTATACACTGTTGGATATATATTACATGGAGTGTACACTAGTGAATATTTATCAAATTGAGTACACAGTAGTGAGTGCTTTAGATGGAGTTCATCAGTTGGAATATACACTAGTGAATATTTATCAAATGGAGAATACACTAGTATGTACTCTAATCTCTAGAGTATACACTAATCACTGGTGTACACCAGTGATTATTTATCAGATAAATTATACATTAGTAAGTACATCAGATGGTGTGTTCACTATTGAGTATGTAACAGATAAAGTGAACACTAGTTTTTTTTTTAGATTTACCAAATGGAGTACACTAGTGAGCGTATTAGATGTAGTGCATCAGATGGAATATACACTAGTGAGTGAATTAGATGGAGTGCATCAGATGGAATATACACTAGTGAGTGAATTAGATGTAGTGCATCAGATGGAATATACACTAGTGAGTGAATTAGATGGAGTGAAAGCACAAGTGAGAGCAATGGATGAAGTATACACTAATGTGTGCATCAGCCACTAATAAGCTTATTAGATGGCGTGTACATTAGTGAATATGTATCAGATGCATATCAGTCACATGAAGAATGAATGGAAGGATCATATAAAGTGCGTGACATGAGGAGGGGGCCGGCGTGAATTAGTTGGGGTGATTAAGAGAGTGCGTCAGCAGCGTGGGGGTCTGCATCTTTCCCCTCTCATCCCCACCAAACTTCTGTTCTGAACTAAAAATATGCACTGGCAGAAGGCACCCAGAAAGGAAGACAGAATGTGTGTGTGAAGGACAGCTTGAATAAAGGTATCTGAAAATATGGTAACATCTGGTAAATCACTAGCTGGAGCAGCTTGTTTTTGGTGGTTTGCGTCAGGTGTCCATCATACATCATCATTCATTCATCGCTCTTTCCAGATGAGTGCTAATCTGCACTATGTTTAATCATGTAGCTCACACTGATTAAATCAAATCTCTCTTTTTCTGTCCAACTCTATTTTTGACAAGGCAAGTTTGTTCAGGCTTTAGCGGAGATCATCTCTCTGGCTCAGGAATCTGTGCGTAAACACATGGGTTTATTTCCTGTTTGTCAGCGAGTACGAGAACCTTCTGAGGTGTTCAACCTCACTCCTGCTGATATCTTTTACACTCTGCTCCTCTGTCTTTCATCGCCTTCATTCACACATGCGTCCATACTTTTCTGGCTGCACCTTGTCTTCTCACATGCCCTTTTTTTTAATGGTCTGCCACCTTCTCTGATTGGGACTAAGAAAGTTTGTCATCTCCATGTGGTAAGTCTAGCACAGTGAGGTGAACTCAGGTCAGGTGAGTGAGTCCTTTGCCCGTCCCAGACAACAAAAGGATGAGGGATGGATTATAACTTTACTGCCACCTATTGGCTGATCTAAACAATAGCTTACTTTCAAGTAAAGAATGCGCACCACCCATTGTCTTGTTCACATCTGATTTAAACTTTAAAAATGTACAGCTATCCATAATTTTAATAAAACCTTCAAGAGCACATGTGAAAAAAATACAACTTTATTTACTGAAACTAAAAGCAGTCTGACAATTGCTGAAGTGTTTTGAAATACTCAGTATAACAAATATTTAGGGTGCATTTATTTATATTTGTTCGCACTATTTTCAATCGGACAAAACAAAATTAAGCAGCCTCTGGAACTCTTGAAATACGAATGTTTCATAAAATATTTAAAAACATGTTTTGTACAACAAACCGAGGAATGATTGTGTCACCAAAGTTTCTAGTGGCAAAATGAGTTTGTATCTTTCATCTAGATACTGCACCTGTTTGTGTTTGAGCAAGACAGGGAGAGACAGAAGGAGATATAGAGAGAGAATATGATGTGTGTGGGTTTTAAGGCCAGAGAATAAAAGCTAGTGAGAAAAACAAGAAAAGGAACAAAAACTATAAATTATAATAAACACAAATTTCGAACAAGAGAGAGGAGAGGAGAAGAGGAATCAGTCTTACAGCCCAATTTGCATTTATATATATTAAGAATTCATTTTAGCCCAATACAAATGTCCACAACTACTGTATTTAAAGATGAACATTTAAGAGAGAATATCTATCCAGAACATGATCTAACACTCTGATAAACACGAGAGGACACATCCATACACACCTTCTCTTCAATCTCTTTGATTTGTCTTCTCTGCAAGTCAATCTTATCTTCAAGTTCCCTGATCCTCTGTAAGTCAAATGATGAAGTATCAAATCATTGTTGAATGAAACACAAAAAGAGTGCAAGAGTGCAAGATACAATGAAAGTGAATGTGAACCAGGGACAATCATTCACTTTCATTATGTGGAAGAGCAGCTTGGACAAATACTTTTTGGAAATTTTGGTAATTATCACATGCACGGTTCCCGACCTGCTGCGCAGACTGGAGGAGCTCCATGCGCTGTTGTAGAACGAGCGTGTCGGCATGGCGACTCTGCCGCAGGATCTGTCTCCGCACTGCATCCATTGACTCGGCCAGCTTCGCTCGCTGCCTGTCACTCAAACTCTCCCCCACACAGCTGTCTGGATCCTGCTGCAGGGCAGCGTATAATGTGGCCTCCAGCTCCTGCACCCTCTAAACATAACAAACATGTACACAATGCTTTCTAAAAGGCAAACGCTAATGAGTTTGGCCAGATTATGTAGCGGAATTTATTTTTAAACAGTTTCACATCTTTTCATGAATTTGACATTTACTTTTGGTCAAACTGACCAAACTGGCACTTGCCACAAATATGGTACAAACTGATGCCCTGTCACTTTTCTACTTATTGTACAAAACAACAATTTTAAGTTTCTTATTGTAATCACTAAAAATATACAGTACATTCGTTTTTACTTGAGCTAACAAATACACAACTTCCACACCAACGTGACACTATTGTTTAAAAGTCTGGGTTCAGTAAGATGTTTTTAAAAACTTCTTTCAACCCCAAATTTTAAATAGTAGTGTATATATTATTTCGTTTATGATAAATATAATTGAATCACAACATTTGTTTCCAAACTAGCTAGCTGCTACTGAGTGACAGCTTAATTAAGGTTAGATCTGAAACACTATTGGCCATTTCTGTATATTTTCATTTCAGTAGAACCTTTAATTGTGTGTAATTATAATGTTTATGTATTGTTTATTTTTAAATAATAAATATAATCAAAATACACACAAATATATTTTTATAAAATATGCAAATATATGTATCTTGGCCAAATAGTACACTTATTTTGTTTCATATTTGGCCTCTCCTGTGGTAAGCCAACAACATTTCTATTACTGACACATTGTTGAGAATAAACGTCAGTTAAAGTATTTATAAGTACATGTATATATATATACTTACATACTTTTAATTAAAAGTATATACTTATACTCTAAGTATCCAGAAGTGTCCGTTTACACTGCTACATAATCTCAAAGTCCTACCAGTTGGGCCTGATCAAGAGCTTGCTTTCTGTAGTCTAGTTCCTCTTCCAGGAAACCTTTCTGTTTACTGAACAGCTCCTGTTGATAACATCAGTTCAACACGGTCAAGACAGGAGCACACACAAATTATACATGTCTAATCAAGTGTCATCAAGCTAGACCGAATGGATGTTCTTACCTTCTCATTCTCCAGATCAATCATTTTCTGTGTCAGCGCTGCCTCGGTGCTGTCGATCTGCTTCAGCCACTGGTCACAAAGACATAGCAATACAATAGAACTAGTATAAGGCACCTTATCTTAAAGGACTTAGAGAATGAAGGACATGATACCTTTTCACATAAAGACAGCACAGTGCCTGCTTGAATGACTGTCACCTGCTCCTCGTTTCGCAAGTTCTGCCAATGAAAAGTGAAGTGTTCATTTCAACTCTCTTTTTTGATAAACAGGAGTAATGCATGCACATACAATGGCAAAAAAAAACATACCCCATTATCCCCAAGAATGTCAAGCTTTTTCATGAGGTCAGGAATGATGACATCCTAAACCAAACACACATGAAGATGAGGCCAACATACAGTATGTTATCATACAGTACATATATGCAGCTGTGTGAAGTGTGCAATTTGTGGTATTGTATATGAATTGTATAGTACTGAAACTGGTGTGTCAGAGAAAGGAGACATGCAAAATGTGCAGTGTTGGGGTGCCTCCAGGACCAGGGTTGGGAACCACTGGTATAAAGTATAGTGTATCGTATTGTATATTGTATAAATCAATGGAGCTAAACTCACATCCCTTCAACCACACATTACTACAGTTAGTACATTATATAGTTTTGAATTAAGTACCTGGTAATATGCCAGTGTATGGGTAATATGTGTGTGGGTTTTTACCTTGACACCCTCTTGTTGGCAGTGTAGCTGTAGGATACTGTTGTTTTCAGAGGCAGAGATTTGTAGGTTAAAGGCAGGAGAACGGCGTTCCCTCTCCTATTGGTTAAAAAAGGAATTGGTGGTGAAATATAGAGAGAAAGCATTTTTTGGGACGTAATAGTATCTGGAAAGAAACTGTAGTTTTAGAGTAACAGTTAAATAATTAAATATTTCGGGATTGTTCAACCAAAAATAAAACTTTCTTCAGAAGTAACGGTTCAACAATACACAAAAAAATGAAGAGTGACCGGAAGAGGGGGGCAAAAATGACAAAAAAAAAACGAGCACATAAAGATTCTCCAAGACTTCTTAAGTCATAACATAGCATAGTGAAATATGACTTGTCTTTTCATCGCACAAATGCTATTATATGACTTCAGGAGACTGGACACTATGCACATTTATGGTACTTTAATATGTATTTTTTATCATTATTGAAGCATGACAGCACCACTCTAGTGAAAAAGATATGCACCGGCAGTGTACTTCAAATCTTAAAAGTATATATATATATATATATATATATATATATATAAACTACTTGCAGATGATATATAGATTAAATAAAAGACCATTTAAGTGTAATAGCGAGTACACTTTCAAGACTGTTTCTTCACAAACTATACACTTAAAAAGTACACTTTGTAATGTAATTAAAATTTTGCTTTACAGTAAATAATGGTTTTACTGATCGTTTGTCATGATTTAAAGAACACAATACACATTTAAGTGTCCAAAAACGTTACATTCAGTTCACACTTAAGCATATTGTTTTAAAGTATATTATGAAAATGTATTGCTATATTTTAAAAGAATGCTAAAGTGTGCTTCTTTTTTACAAGGGTAGTTCCCTTTTACTTGCATGAAAAGAAAAGCCAGGATATTCTCCAAACACTCACTAATGTATCTGTGTTTAAACAGAATAAAGAAACTAATATGGGTTTGAAACAACATAAAAGGTAGTGGTGACATTCATATACATCAGGGTGCTTATAAAAGACTTAAGCATACACTGTAAAAAATGATTGTGATTTTAACGGTAAAAGACTGTAAAAATGCTACAGTAAAAACCTGTTAATTGGTTATCATCAGAAAGTTTCCATACTATATACGGTGAATAACTGTAATTACATTTAATGTAATTTTACAGTAAAATACTGTTAAAATTACGGTTTTTGGAAGTGAAAAATAAAAAGTTATTGTATAATTTACAGTGAAAACCTGTAAATTGACACTCCCAGAATTCCCTGCATGACACTTCATATTTGATGTTTTTTCGTTGAAATAACTGTTTCTTCTTAGTTTTTTCTTATCAGTTGTGTACATTAGGGTTTTATCTTACATCTAATGTTGTTAAATTAATGTTTATTACATTATTTCAGTATCGTGTGTTACCATGATGGTGTTTAGTGTTTGTGTGAATGACACTGTGTGCACCTTCTATGTATATATATATATTAGTATTTCCCTTCTCAGCTTGTGGAAGAGCTGTTTGTGATGAGCTTTGATTCATCATGTGACTTTCTCATCACTACCTGTTTTTGGTGGTTATCAGTATTACAGTGGTTCAAAACAGATATTAGTATTTCAATATGCTGGTTTATTAACATTACATCAGTTAATAAAATATGTTTTTTATTGTGAATTTAAGTTAAGTCTGTAAAACCTAAAATGTTGCTGCCATATTTTTAACGGTGAAGTTCTGGCAACCACAGCTGCCGGTATTTTACCGTAAATGTCACAGTTTTTTTTTTTTTTTACGGTGTACAGATAAGTTCATATCACACTTAATGCAATGTAACAACATTATGGAACAGGATGTATGCAGATACTATGAATATTGTTGAATATTGTAGGCTCTGTGACAATCTGCTTATGTTCCTCTATTGCTTTGGATAAAAGTGTCTGCAAAATGTATAAATAAGTATAGAACCCACTACCAATCACATGACTTAACTACAATTAGAAAGTCCATGTGTACAATATTAAGAATGTTCTAAGGTGTGTGTAAAACACTCAGACTAAAAATACTTTAAAAAGTAGAATGCTGAAAGACAAACAAACAAATAAATAAATACATATTTTGAAAAATGTCTTTGTTTTTTTGTCCATAAAATGAAAGTCAATGAGGGCCAATGTTGTTTGGACTCCACTGACATTCAGAATATCTTCTTTTGTGTTCCGCAGAAAAAACTAAAGCCATATATGTTTGGAGAAACATATTGTAAGGGTGAGTAAAAGATTACAGAATTTGGATTTTTGGGTGAACTGTCCCTTTAAGCACACACACTTAACCAGATGTTTCAACTGAATTACTTATAAACCACACACTTTGTGTCATTTCTGTAATCAAACAATATGCACTTAATTATATGCAGTAATTTGAACTAAGAAAGTGTTCTTTCTAATTGGCAGCTGCAGTTACCGTATGCTGTAAGTTGGATTCTGTAAATTAAATAACATTCTCACAAAAATGTCACAATGATCACAAAGAAATATTCAATATCTCATAGAAGATGTATAACATTCTACAAGCAAACAAAAAGAGTACATAGGCACACAAATGTGTTGGGATAAATAATGACCATTAAAAAAATAGTGAATTTGTGCATTTATAAACAAATAAAAATACATGCAGGAGGTGTAGTCAAAAAGAAAAAGAAAAAAAAGATTGGTGAGGAGTTTCATTCAAATAAATTTTATTCCACAGAAACGTATAATTAACAAAACAATAGTGATATAAATATACAGTTCTTAAAACAGGAAAAAAAAACATTTAAAATGTGTATGAAAATATTTATAACAACATGAACACATAAAACTCAAAGCAGTGCCAGTTTTGTGTATGTAAGGGGTCAAATGGATTCATGTATGTAGCTTGTGTAGACATGAGCCGGGTTTGGCCGCCCCTGTTTGCTGCTGTGGGAGCAAAACAGATTCTCTTACTTCCAGTTCTAGAATGCGGAATTCAAGCAGCTCATTCTGATCCAGGGTGTCTTGAACTTCAGAGCGTAATCGCATTTCACACTGCTCCAGCGATACTATCTACCACACACACACACACACACACACACACACACCGGAAGAACTCGCTGTAGTATTGTTGTTGCCGCCGCCGCTATGTTGTGGAGATGCTGTGTGTTTCATTGTGAAAGTTTAACAACGTCGTTATAAACTATTGTTTTAGTCACGGGTATATTGTGAGGTGTACTAGTGGATGTGACGTTTTGTGTTGGATATATATATGTAAATTGTCCAGGGTTTAAGTGGAAATGATTTAATGATTGTGGTAATTGAACATTGGCTAATGAATGATGACGTCAATATAATTAGTGATTTAAAAAGTGGGTGGAGGGATTGAATTGCTTTACACACTGAGGAAGGCTTTGAGCCGAAACGTTTGTGTCTTTTCCCATCAGTAATGAATGTAAAATAAAAGAAGATTGTTCTCGTGAGTGTGGATCATAATTTCCTATACTTTCATTGTGAAAGTGAAACTATTTTGCCCTTCCAAAAGAGGACGATATCCTCTTCGTCATGCCTGGAGCTGATCTGTGCTGGTTGCTGAGGAAATACATCAACTTCGCGCTGTGGATCGCTGGATCGGCTTTCACCGTGGACGAAGCGAGTCCAGCCCGGGGTCGTCACATGTGGTTGCCAATCATCGCTCCGGCCTGACAGGGCATCATCACAGTATGGTAAGGGGCGTAACATTTCCATCACACGCTCGAGGCATTCGGCACTGGATAGCTGGCCAATCAGAGCACACCTCGCTTTTCAGACCGATGAGCTTTGTAAAAATCGACGCATTTCAGAAAGGCGGGGCAAAGAGGAGAAACAATAATGTACAGTATGTAGAAAATAATGTGTTTTTTGAACCTTAAACCGCATAAACACATTTCATTACACCAAATACACAACATAATGTTCTTTTTTAGCAACATCATATGACCCCTTTAATTGTTTATGTTTGAGTATATGTATATTATAGGAAACTAAGGACATAGGCTGTACCTTTTCTCTGAGTTCCTGGTTCACCCTGAGAAGATTTTGCTTTTCCTCCACCCACTTTGAGTCCTGCATAACATAAACCCACACAAAACTTGACTTGACTTGACTTGACTATTATCACTAATCACACACAAGCCACACTCTCATTTAAAAAAAAAAAAAAATCTCACATCAAATATCAAATACTCAGTCTTAAACATTGAGCTCAGCAAAAACAAAGAAATGCATAGAGAAAAAATAAATAAAATGAGAAGTTAAAGATGGAGAAAGGAGATTTATTAGGCCGCATGCAGGTAAGTCCATTTCCATATTTTACAGGAAAAAAAAAAAACATCAAGCAATCAATAAGAGACAAGCAGAGAATAGAAAGGAAACACATGCAAGAGCAGACTGACCAATGACAAACATGCACTGTGAACCAACTGATCATTAAGCCAAAAATAGCTACATTCAGAATAGCACAGTACCATACTACTCTTACTAATTCTGCAGTATGTATACTATGCACAGTATTTCTGCCATATGTTTATTAACTGACAGTCACCACTGATAAGCTACCACTAAATATTGTAGAAACTTAATTTGCTGTAAAGTTGCTTTGCAACGATTTGCATCGTGAAAAGCGCTATACAAATACACTTGAATTGAATTGAATTGAATTATGGAAATTTCATACTTTCATACTGAAAACAAATTTCAGACTCCTCTTTACAAAAATTGGAGTAAAAATACTACATTTTTATTTCTAAAATAATAGATGGTCAGCATTCACCTAATTAAACGTTTAACATTATGAGGTCATGCAAAACATTGTTGCACACTACTGCTTGAAACATTTAGCAAATGTTGAATAATTCACAGTCCTGTTTCACATACTATTTAAAGGGTCATGAAACACTAAACTACATTTTCTGAGATGTTAACAAGAGTTGTTTGTGTTGCACATCACAGAAGACAACGTTAGCATCCGTTACTTTTTTTAATTATAGGAGAAAATGGTTAAGCTTTTCTCTAATCTGTAGCTTACCAAACCCAGTTTTGCACCATTTTTCAGAACTGTGGAGAGAACTAACGGGTGTTGAAATAGAGTGCAAAGAAGTGAATTGGGAAAGTTCCAGAAGTGAAAACAAAATTTCTCCCTAGGGAAAATGATTTTTAATGACTTGCAAACCTTAAAGACAGACCTGTTGTGAGCTCTGAGGTTGTTAATCGATGGTATATGCTTGTTGAAGCCACAGGCCACATTATTTCAACATGTTTTTAAAAGAATAATGTTTTAACAGCAGAATTTGTGGTGAGAAACTACATTACCCATGATGCTGTATGGAAAATCCACCAATCAGTCGCGGCAAGCAAATCGCACCAAAAAAATGCTCTGCAGGAAACGGCGGATCCCATGAAGCATGCAAATGACATAATTAAATCTCCAAACACTCCAAATACTTTATGTATTTGTAAATCTATCTATCTATCTATCTATCCATCTCTAGCTAAAATAATGAAGGAGTGGCTTCACAACAACTCTGTGACTGTTCTTGAATGGCCCAGCCAGAGCCCTGACTTAAACCCAATTGAGCATCTCTGGAGAGACCTAAAAATGGCTGTCCACCAACGTTTACCATCCAACCTGGCAGAACTGGAGAGGATCTGCAAGGAGGAATGGCGGAGGATCCCCAAATCCAGGTGTGAAAACCTTGTTGCATCTTTCCCAAAAAGACTCGTGGCTGTATTAGATCAAAAGGGTGCTTCTACTCTAAATACTGAGCATGTGATATTTCAGTTTTTTTTTTTTAATAAATCTGCAAAAATGTCAACAATTCTGTTTTTTTCTGTCAATATGGGGTGCTGTGTGTACATTAATGAGGAAAAAAAATTAACTTAAATGATTTTAGCAAATGGCTGCAATATAACAAAGAGTGAAAAATTTAAGGGGGTCTGAATACTTTCCGTACCTACTGTATATACATACATATACAGTATATAGGATTTTTTTTTATTTTTTATTTTTTTATGCATTTAGCAGACGCTTTTATCCAAAGTGACTTACAGTGCATTCAGGCTATTCATTTTTTACCAGTATGTATAATATGATTAATGTGTAGTCTTTTCTTTTTAAAGCAGTAACAGTCTCATCTATTTCTCTTTTTGTCCGATTTTAACATACTTTTGTAATGTACTGTAGTGATACACCTCATAGCTGGTTGGCTTGGTTCATGGTTTATAATGCTTTACTGAAGACTTTTAAAAAAATCCCTATGCAAACATTAATGGGAAAAATACTTCTGGAACCAACGCTACTGAAAAAGTGGGTGTGCACTAATGCACTTTATAGGGGGTTTTATGACCCTTTAAAAAACAGTAGGCAGTAAGCTAGTATTCCATTCCGAGTAAGACCGAAACGAAAGACCAGCAATATATTTGTGCCCTAGTACACCCCCAATTTTTGGTCAGTGAACAGGATGTAGTACAATTCTCAAATCTAGTGTTAAGACAGGCTGTGAAAACAAGATTATAGTATACAGGGGAGACGGCAGGGCACAAATAGCATGAATATGAAATGATTACGCCATAATTAAATGTGCTGATTGATTTGATTAAATATACATTAGAAAAAGCTAAGTAAAAAGCATTGGTCAAGCAAAGGAAATGTACAGAAATAACAAAAACTGTAAAGTATGACTGATCCTATGGGGGAAGTCACATGATTTGGTGCCATATCCTCTGTGTAGTGCCAGCACACAAGCATGGCTGTCAGAAAGACAAGCAGCAAAGCCAATGTGACTGGAGTCAGGGGTGTCTTCTCCCCGCCCTCTTTCTTATTTACCTGCCCCTTCTCTGCCAAGCTCCGCTCCAGGTCGGCAATCCGTGCCTGACAGCCAATCAACTCCGTCTGCAGCTGCTCCCGTGTCTGACGGACAGAGCACAGAGCCAATCAAAGAGCCAGCCTAGGGCATATGTACGCATAAACAGTCTATATTGGCTTCTTTTGAATTTTAAAAGAGTTTCAAATGACAAATGAGCAGCAAAGCCAATGTGACTGGAGTCAGGGGTGTCTTCTCCCCGCCCTCTTTCTTATTTACCTGCCCCTTCTCTGCCAAGCTCCGCTCCAGGTCGGCAATCCGTGCCTGACAGCCAATCAGCTCCGTCTGCAGCTGCTCCCGTGTCTGACGGACAGAGCACAGAGCCAATCAAAGAGCCAGCCTAGGGCATATGTACGCATTAACAATCTATATTGGCTTCTTTTGAATTGCAAAAGAATTTCAAATGACAAATGTTTGAAATTTTGGTAGCTTTTTTTTTTTTTTTGAGGCAGGAATTTTCGGCCATGCTTGCTACAATGCTGGCTGTGATCAACAGATGAGTGGTATTTCAGTGTGGGCAAAGGAGATTCTGAAAAGGTCTTGGAATTCATTTAAATTGTATTTAAACATTGGTGCAATTTGATTCAGATCAAAAACAAAAAAATAGTGGTAAGAAAAGGATCCTTCAGAATGTCCAGTGTTGGTGGGGTTAAACATGCGTCTGTGGAGTTGGCGTCATGGGCCCTCACCCTGCAGTGTCTCTCAGGGTCCAGAGGCCCTGTAGTCTCCTGCAGAAGTGCGTAAGCTCGCTGCAGTGCCTGGTACTCTCGCGTCAGCTGCCGAAATCGCAGCTCCGCCTCCTCTCGGGAAAAGCCCTGACGAATAACAAATGCAATTCCATGTGTCACATTTGTTTTTCAGCTGTTAATGTAAAATATGAAACAATTTAACGAGACATTTGCTCACCCTCAAGTTGTTCCAAACCTGTAGGACTTACTTTTTTCTGGTGAACACAAAATAATATATTTTGAAGAATGTTGGTAACCAAAGAGTTTTGGGGGAGGTGGTGTGGAGTTTACTCAAGCACCAAGAAAGTCAAACAGGTTTGGAACAACATGACGGTAAGAAAATGATGTCAGAATTTTCATTTATATGTGAACTATTATAAGGAAAAAATTGGTTAAAGGGATAGTTCACCCAAAAATGAAAATGTGATGTTTATCTGCTTACCCCCAGGGCATCCAAGATGTAGGTGACTTTGTTTCTTCAGTAGAACACATTTGATGATTTTTTTGGTGTCTTAGGACATCAATGTGTCGTCACGTGCCGCAGGGTTTAATTTGGATTTGTCTGTGCATGTTTTTTTTACTCTCATAGATTTTGTTACCATTGCCATGCATTATACGACTGATAGACTGCAACGGTTAAAGTTAAAAATCATCATATGTGTTCTACTGAAGAAACAAAGTCACCTACATCTTGGATGCCCTGGGGGTAAGCAGATAAACATCACATTTTCATTTTTGGGTAAACTATCCCTTTAAGTAGTTCCTGAAAATCAAAAACACAACAATTCAAGACAACCTCAGGCAAGTTTGTCTGATTCATATTTTGGTTATTATTGTGCTATCTATTTTTTGGTTATGATTTTGCTTGCCTGCAGTGGGAAAATCGTTTTGAAGACAAAATGTTCTTTTTTGGGGTGAACTAAGACCAAGCACTGAATCAGGTAGGACTGGGTTGCATGACGTCACATAATTAATATGCATGAACATATTAATAAACATATATGCAAGTTTTACAATTTGCCCACCAACATTTCAGACTGTTCAAACGCATTTGGTTTTCCAGAAGATTTACACAGCAATTTCTTCTGCTTGTGTATCATACGGCCTATTATATTTCATACAATTAAAGTGCATTCCTGTAAAAGTGTCTGTAATTATCATGAATCACATTGTTTCACGATACACATTGTAACATAATACACATTGTTTCAAAGCAGTTTTACAGAAAATCATGATGTTAATGTTTATAATATTTCAATATTGTTATGCCTTACAGTCGAATTAAGCACATAAAATAGATGACATTTTCTATGTATTTTATATTGCTTTACGTGAGCACACTGTATATATACAGATAAAACTTAATACAGCTGTGCGACAATACAGTTTACATTTTGCTACAATAAAATATTTGTTGTAAACAAACAACTGTTTAGAGTTAGTAACAGTTTCAGTGAGTAAACTAAAATCAAAATCAAAATCAAATTTGTGCCTAATTTTTATGACATTTAGTGAAGAAAATCTTATTTAATGAAGAGCATATTCGAGAGAGCTGAGAACACTACAAGAACACATTGTTATGGGATCGTCTTCACGGTGCAGTTAATGACTCGATTATAATCCCGCTCCTCGTTAACTAGCTCTGACTCTCAGTAAACAACATGAAGGTTAGGGGCCACTTATGAACAAGAGAACAGCTGAGATGCCTCATCACGGTCCCTTGAGCACAACACTTAACTGCATCTGACCAAATAACAAGCCTAATTCAAATGAATGCTTTGAATTAAACAAACACTGAAGTTTGACACCATGTTTACACTCTCCAGGGCTGCCAAATTTATGAAATGAATATGCAGACTACAGTTTTATACTGTCAGAAGATAATCAAAATGTTAGGGTGGTGTTAATGGTTTTCATATACTGCTGTGTGGCTGCTAAAATGTTTGGAGTTGTTTTTGTTGTATTGCTATGTGGTTGCTCAGAATTCAATATAAGTACTTAATTAAATGTTCAGTGGACAGTAAGCAAGTAGCTGTACTGGGTTGTTGCTAGGTTGTTTCTTACTTAGAAAAATAATAATACATTTCTCTTCAATAAGCTAAATTATTTGATGTATTATCCATGTCAAACATACAGAGCAAGTTACACATACTAGCGAATCACAAACACTAAACAACTGGATTTTTATAGGGGATGAAAAAATGTAAATCTTCACAGGAACTTTGATGGACAGCACAGGAAACTATGATTTAAGAGATGTAAACAGGATTAAGATTCAAACTGGTGCATTTGGTTTGGATGTACTACCATTCAAAAGTGTGGGGTCAGTAAGTTTTTCTTTACTTTTTTTTTTTTTTAAAGAAATTAATACTTTTATTCAGCAGTGACACATTACATTACTCAAAAATGACATTTAGAGTATAATGTTACAAAAATATAATTTAATATAAGGTTCCATTTCAAATAAAAGCTGTTCTTTTGAACGTTTTATTCATCAAAGAATCCTGAAAAAGTGTATCACAGTTTCCACAAAAATATTAAGCAGCACACCTGTTTTCAACATGGATAATAATAAGAAATGTTTCTTGAGCAGCAAATCAGCATATTAGAATTATTTCTAAAGGATCATGCGACACGGAAAACTGGAGTAATTGCTGCTAAAATTCAGTTCTGCCATCACAAGCATAAATGATACATTATAAAATATAAAAATATAAAACGGTTATTTTAAATTGTAATAATATTCTACAATATAACTGTTTTTACTGCATTTTGGATGACGTGAATGCAGCCTTGGTGAGCATAAGAGAAATCCTTCAAAAAAAAAAAAAATCTTACTGACCCCAAACTTTTGAACGGTAGTGTAGTCGAGCTGCAAGAGTATTCAGTGCAGGTATTAAGGTTTGTCAAATAATTTATTGCATGACATACATCTTCAAGATCCTCTTCGGGGGTGGCAGGGGTGTGATCTGTGCGGTCGGTGTTATATGATGTCAGAGATGACGTTTCAGAATCGACAGATTCTTCGTCAAATCCAAAATATGTCTCCACAACATGCCTCTGAAAAAGAAAGAAGCCAGTACTTAAGTATTATACCCATATTCACATTAAACTAGTGTAATAAAATCACTTACTAACCTAACTAAAGTCCAATTTAACTTTCACACAATTTCCGCAAGTATACACTGTAAAAAAAATTCTGTAGTTACATGAAATGTCTGGTTAGATATTTTACAGTTTTTCCCTCTATATAGTACGGGAACTTACTGTTAACCTATTAACAGTTTTTTTCCCGTAGCGTTTTTACAAAATTTTACAGTTAAAATTACACTTATTTTTTACAGTGACCATAAAACAGTACAGTTTGCCTCTCCTCTCTTTTGTTTACACAAAAAAAAAAAATATCCACTCACAGAAATTATGATGGTAACACATGACCAACCCAGGAAGAGCAGTGTGTGTGAGTGATTTAACAAAAATATGACCCTGACCGTTTCTGCTTTAAAACCTTTTGGAGTGTCTTACTGTAAGTGCATTACTGTAAATGTTCATTTTTACAAAATGAGGGAGTCACAATCACAAATACTGTCAGTACTACCCACATATGCTGTGAACACGGTGTGCCTTGTTTCTAAATCCAGAATAATCAATCCTTTCCATGGACCGTACAGTATTTAACTGACACGCAGATGTCCTTTGATTGCACAGACACTTTTTGAAGAGAACTGAACTGAGCTGGATTGTGACATCACTGAATGAACGATGAACCAACTTTAAATGAAAAACTGACTGTTTTCTGTTGTCCTTTTGCATTATCAGCACACGTTTAACACTGTAAAGCTGCGTTGACACAATCTGTATTGTATAAAGCACTATATAAATAAAGGTGACTTGACTTTGAATACACTATGCAATCGCTCTTACCATCGTGTTTGTAGGTCATCTCCTGACAGCCAGAGAAATACAGACACACCAGAGCACACAGACACAGGAACATGGAGAGATACAGCACCAGCAGGAAGTACTCTGGCATACTGGATGTGTATTTGTGCTCCTCAGTCCAGTGTCATGGTATGCGGTATATCCTTTTAACCTCTTTAACCAGCATCATCTTCCTCAGTGTTCACAGGAAATGAGAGTTACAAATGTGTGTGTTAAAGCCTGTGTTATGGTAATCTCTTGATGCTTCTCTCTTGCGTGAATTTATAGTCAAGTCCACTGACTCCACCTCCATAGCAACGGTTCTTGAGAACGAACAACTAAACCCCACCCCACAACGCCACAAACACACACACACAGGTTTACTTCATTTAAATGAGAACATGCAGTACCATATACAGTATAAAGCTAATCATAATAAGCTTTACATATTAATTACTTCATATATTAGTTACCCAAGCTCAACCATTTTTAGAATAAAATAAAATATTATTTTATTTATTTAGTAATGTTTTTTTTTTTCAATTCAGGACATCCTCAAATGTTCCCAAACAAGGTTTTGTCAGATTTAGCTAACAAAAAAATGGATAATTTTGTATCAAAAATACAGTGAAGTAAACCCAAACATACGCAAACTCTGAAGGACAGTGACATTGCAACTGCGTTTATAGACTTTTGCATTGTGAAAATAGGGTTTTTAGTTGTTTGGATGACTGGCTTAACCTTTTAGGCAAAAAAAGAAAGAAACCAGAGACTGTTTAAGTGTTGTTAAGCTGGTGAAAGCATGAGAAAGAAAAAAGAACTTGGCTGGACTCAGAGGTCTCGAGAGGCCAATTAATGTACCAGTGTAACCAGCACACACATGAAGAAACACACACATGCGCGCACACACACACACACACTCCTCAGAGGAGACAGTTGCTTAGCGACAGTGTCCATATGCTTTAAAGAAAAGAGAAAGTAACCAGAGCAAAACTTCCATCAAAGAGACTCCAAATATGGTTCAAGATAATTCTATGAATGAGAGGATCAGCTCACCTTGGGCAACTTGATGTTTTTTCGCCTGTTCTTTTTGTTGATTATCAACCTGTCCCGTTCCTGAAAGCACATCCAGACATTACATTAAATAAAACACAAAAACACACAACTCAGAATCATCATTCAGCAGCACATTCAAGGAGTACGTTTCATTTCACATTTAATCAAGTATGAATGCTACAGGTCAACAAGTTTACACTACCGTTCAAAAGTTTTTTTTAAAAATTTTTTTATGTTTTTGAAAGTCTCTTATGCTCACCAAGGCTGCATTTACTTGATTAAAAAATTAAATAAAAACAGTAATACTGAGATATATTATTATAATATAAAATAGCTGTTTTAATATATTTTAAAATATTACTTATTTCTGTGATGACAAAGCTGAATTTTCAGAATCATTACTCCAGTCTTCAGTGTCACATGATCTTCAGAAATCATTCTAATATGCTGATTTGGTACTCAAAAAAAATTATTATTATTCTCAATGATGACTTTTGTGGAAAACATGATACATTTATTCAGGATTCTTTAATGAATAGAAAGTTTGAAAGAAAAGCTTTAATTTCAAATAGAAATATATTGTATATTAATAAAGTATTTACTGCCACATTTGATCAATTCAATGCACCCTTTCTGAATAAAGGTATTAAAAAATTGAATGTCTTAAAATAAATGGCTAACACTTTAGTACAGTATAGGGACCAATTCTCACTATTAACTAGTTGCTTATTAGCATGCCTATTATTAACATATTGGCTGTTTATTAGTACTAATAAAGCACATATTCTGCATGAGCATATTCTACATTCCTAATCCCACCCAATACCTAAACCTAACAACTACCTTACTAACTATTAATAAGCAGCAAATTGAGGCAAAACTCGTAGTTAATGTTTTGTTAATAGCGAGAATTGGATCTTAAAATAAAGTGTGACCAAATAAATAAATAGATAGATAGATAAAACTTTTGAACGGTAGTGCATGTAAACATTGTCACATGCAATACTACTCTGATGCTGGCAATACTGAATTATCAGCATGCATGTTAACAGACGTCATGAGGGAGGGGAAGAGAAAATGAGAGTGATGCTGAAATTCATTTTTAATTAGGCTTTGCTTTAATGAAGTAAACAAACTAATTAACAGACACAGCGCTGATTACCAAACACAAATAATTACAGGGTGAGACCAGTTAGAGAATAAGTACACCGAGTGCACACACTAGTGTTGTCAAAAGACCGGGTACTTCGGTACAAAGTCGGTACTAAAAAAATGAAAACGTTACGGTACCAGGTTTTTTTAAGTACCAGTGGTACCGAGAACCCGGTCAACCCGGTTCTTGATGCGCTATCCGAAAGGTGTGCAGATGCGCTCTCTTCATAAAAGCACTGAGACGTGGAGACATCAAAAGGAGGAAACACACCAAACTAACAAACACTTTAAAGACAGACACCCAGATCAAATGAAAGAGTTCAAGCAGCTAAGTTTCATTTTAATATTTAGATCTTCAGTGTTTCCCATACATTGATTTAACTTGTGGCGGCCCGCCACAGTATCAAAACTGACCCCCACAAATAGATTTTCCAAAAGGCTTTGACTTCGTTGAATAAACATGAGCACTGCACGTGTCAAAGTCGAAACCCGGTGCGGGTGTTTTTATATCACTGTATTTCTGAAGGAAACCGACTGTCTTCAGAAAATTATGGATGTCATTTTCATTTCATCTTGCGTGTAATGCCTGAGCAGTGTTTGTGAGCACAGCACTTATTAGATTACAGCCATTACCGGGGAAACCTCTATCTCTCCCGCTCTACAAGCGTACACACCAGAGGCTTTTAAATGAATTGTGAATCTAAAATATGTGTGTTAGAGAATGCACAAATGGTTAACATTGGTTGTGTCATATCAGTCAGAAAAGCAGTTCCGGCCTTTTATTTATTTTATTTTTTTTAGCTAACGTAGTTAATTGTTATTCTTGGCTAAATAACTCTAGAAGGTTTTCAAAAGCCATTAAGTACAAATGTTCAATGTTTATTAAATGAATTCTGAATAAAAATACTTATTAAAATGTAATAACTTTCTTCACGTGCTGAATAAAATTATTAATTTAGTTTTTTCCCCTGGAAGCAAGACTAAATATCTTAAGTCATTTGGCTTATCTAGTAAAAGTATCTTGATTTAAGAATTTTAAGATATTTTGAAATGTGCTATATAAATAAACTTGCCTTGCCTTCGGAGACAAATTTTCCTTTCTGATAATGTAACAACAGCTGAGACAATCAAATCCTGATTATTAAAATTATGTCCTGTCCTACATTATTTCCCATAATTTTCCGTTTTTCCTTTAACAACAAACCTGTTCTGCGTTCTCTCTACTGAGTGTCTTCAGTTTGTCCTCCATGCGCTGTAGAGTCTGCAGCAGCTCTTCATTCTTTTTATTCAGCCGTTTATTCTTCTCCATAAGAGGCTTTATCTCTGCATCTGTTTCTCGCACTCGTTTCAGCTGTATGACAGAGAGAGACTGATCTACATACAGAATGCAAGACATTTGTGCTAAACTACAATTGGGATTTCCATACGGATCTTATGAAAATTATCTTACAGATTTTTACAACACAAAATACAAATCTTTTGAGAACAGTGGCTTTAGTGCGTGAGAGGTCAGCAGTGAAAATGATAATGCCAAATGCAAACAATAAAATACAACTAACCATATAATCATTCATCATTATGATAAATTAACAGAGGAGAAGATGCAGGTTAAATAATATATACAGTATAATACACTAAATGCAGGTTTGGTACATGATATATAATCTGGGTCATGAAGCTAAACCAGTTGAAAATCACAGATTTAAAACATTGTTCCCAATAATCTTTCACTATTACAGTTAAAAAACTGTTGAAAAACTGTAAACGGTTTAACATCACATGTAATTTTACTGCAAAGTATTGTCAAATGTATGTTTTTTAGAAGAAAAAACTATTAATTACCATATAATTTACTATGAAAAAAGGGTAAAAGGACATTCCCAGAAGTCACACGACAAAGTTCCCTTTGTGACACACCACATATGATTATATTTTACGATTTGTTTCTTTATATTTATGTTAACAGTAATGCTTTGTGTTTTTTAGTTAATGATTATTGCATTATTTTAGTATAATGTGTTACCCTGATGGTGCTTTGTCTGCATCACCCTGCGCATCGGCAATACGGCCATGTTTATGATCAGGCCATTTGTGATGGATTCATCATGTGGGCTTTCTATTGTACCACCTGGTTATCGGTACATTTTGCAAAATATTTTGGTAGTTCGAGTTGCTTGGTATATTAACATTATATCACTTAATGAAATATTCGGTTATAAATTGTAAAATATACATACAGCCACCAATATTCCATCCTATTACTGAAACATTGTCACAGTAATTTTTACACTGAATTTTTGGCAATAACAGCTGCCATTTTTAACTCCCCTGGTGCCATTTTGGAGAGTATCCACTGAACGTAAACAGCGTATACTATTCTGTGTCAGCAGCATCACGTGGATACGGTTTTTTACATTGTTTACGCCTTGATTTGAACGAAAACAACGCATCCGCGTGACGCAGCTGACTCAGAACAGCATACCCTGTTTACGTTCAGTGGACACTCTCCAAAATGGCGCTAAGGGTGACGCGGAGGAGACGAAATGTTGAATAAAGTCGTTTTTTTTGTTTTCTTTGCGTACAAAAAGTATTCTCGTAGCTTCGTAATATTACGGTTGAACCCCTGATGTCACATGGATTATTTTACAGATCTCCTTGCTACGTTTCTGGACCTTGATCGTGGTAATTACATTGCTGTCTATGGGAGGGTCAGAGAGCTCTCAGAATTCATAAATAAATAGAGTAAATAATGAAAATAATCAGTAAATAATGACAATTTTCATTTTTGGGTGAACTATCCCTTTAACAGGATATTTTACAGTGTATGATTCAGATAAGATCCTATTAGATAAATTCCTATATGACTTTTGCCCTTAGTTTGTCGAGAGTGTATGTATATGTACCAGTTCATTTCTCTCATCTGACAGCAGGGTGTTTCTGTCCTCTAGTTTCCTGATGACTGCCTGCAGCTCAGCGATCTTCAGCTGAAACCTCCGTACATCCCTCTCATCCGCGTCCTATGAGTGGATAAACATACTTTATTGTGTGATGGCAAAGTTCATCATGCAGGAAAAAGTTCTCGTCATGTTAGTCCAACATGAATGTTAATGGTCCTGATGATATAAAAGCTTTTTGTCAGATGTTTCTGATCGCAGAACAGAACAAACCTGGTTATTGACAGAGTCTGTGTTTTCCCCGAGGAATGGCGCCACCTCTCTCTTCGGACTCCCATAATGCCGCTCTGATTCCTCCTTCTGCAGCAGTAGACGCTGTGTCTGTCCCGCCTGCACACCCAGCTCTTTTTCCAGTGACTGCACCACACGATCTCTGCTCTTCAACTCGTCCATCTGACACAAACACACATTTGAGTTCATGCTTTTTGTGGTCCAATTCACAAAATTTCCTTCCTTCAGGTCTAGCTGCTGTACTAATCTTGTAGTAGGTAATTCCTACTAATGCATACATAAATATATAAAAACTTGAAAGGGTTTGGGCCAGTAAGATTTTTGTTTTAAGATTTAGATTTTTGACAGTAAAGACATTTACAATGTTACAAAATCTTTCTATTTCAAATAAATGCTGTTATTTTGAACTTTTTATTCATCAAGGAATCCTGAAAAATATGAAGCAGCACAACTCTTTTCAACATTGAGATCATAAGAAATGTTTCTTGAGCACCAAATCAACATATTAGAATGATATGTGACGCTGAAGACCGAAGTTATGAAGCTGAAAGCTGCAAATTCAGCTTTGCAATTACAGGAATAAATTACATTTTGAAATACATTCAAATAGCAAACAGATATTTAAAATTGTAATAATATTTCACAATAAACAAAACCATTTAAAAAAAAACCCACCCTTTGAATGGTATTATACATAAACTGTTTAAAAAATGTATGTATATCAAAAAAATAAGCTTTTGGTCTGGCCAATAATTTGATGATATACTGAACACATGTCTTTAATTATAAGGGCGCTAATATCAAATCGGTGCAAAAAAAACTTAAATCCTGTCTATTTGTTCTTTGTCATATGAAACACTATTTGTGACTGATTGATATAAGGAATGAGGTTTTTGATTTTGAGGGCTTTTATACATTAATTATCAACTTAGTCGATATTTGAAAGGTGATGCATGTCAATATTTTCTCTTCTATTCAAGCTTAATACGCAGAGACAACTTTATAAGTATGTAAGTATAAACATTTGTAGGTTGGTTCCCCACTGTGTCTTTGTTTGTTTGATCCGGAGCAGCCACACTGATTCAACCAATGGCTTGAGACTGGAGCGGAACTATCAGCCATTGTTTTTACAATTCTATGTGGTGACATTCACCTGAACTTTTTTAAATTAACTCCTTCCATCCTTCTTACCAGTCTCCGGATTTCTCTCTCGCTCTCGCGTTTGATTCTCTGAATCTCTTCCTGATGAGCTTGATGGGCCACCCTGAGATCGGCAGCTTTGGCTCTGTCGGCCTGCACAGCATTGGACAGCGCCTCCTCTGCCTGCCGCCGCAACGTCTTCGCCTCCTGCAGCTCCTGCGTGAGCCTGAGTCTCTCTGCCTCGTAGCTCCTGCGGGCCTCCTCTCGTGCCTCCTCCTTCAGGGCATTACGTAGCTCGCTGCTGGCTCCGTCCCGTAAAATACACACCAGCGCCTGAAGCCGGGACAGTTCTGTCTCGCGGAGTCGTGCCGCCCGGGCCAGCTCGGTCTCGTGTTGCCGAGACAGGCTCTCTCGTGTGGCCGCCACCTCTCGCTGCTTCTCCTCATGGAGCTTGACGCGGAGTTCAGTGAGTGTGACCGAGTGCTTGTGCTGCTCAGTCTCTCGTTGGGCCCGTAACTCTTGCAAACGTTCCCGTAATTTGCCCACCTACAAATTGAGAGACAAGGTGTGTACACTGACACCAATCAAGGCGAACATTGGCATTCACATTAAGGTTCTCATAATGTCACAAGTTTACCAACGAATTCCCATTACTTCTTCAATCTGATTACTAAGGTACACTCTAAACAATGCTGGGTTGTTTCAACCCAACTTTGGGTCAAATATGGACTAACCCAACTTTTGGGTTAAAAATTGAATGTAAAAATTTAACCCAACGGTTGGGTTAGTCCATATTTGACCCAACGTTGGGTTGAAACAACCCAGCATTTTTTAGAGTGTATTATTAAAATAATGTATTTTTTAAAAATGTTTAAAAGTTTTTAACATGTAAATGTCTCAAAAACGACAAAAATATTCTGTCCAAATTATTTACACAGATATATACTCTCAATGAACAGGCTGAAATAGGTTATACTTTATTTTAAGGTGTCATTGAAACAGTGTAACTACACAAATAAGTACTGAGTAATATTAATTAACTACATGCACTTTCTATAGGGTTACAGTTTGGTTTAGGATTAGTTACTTGATATAATCCTATAATTTATCATCATTACTATGGTACATGCATATGTGTAACTGTCACTTTAAATTAATGTGTTAACCTGAAATATTTTAGAGCCTCTGCCTTACTGTACATACATTGCAGAGTAAAAGAACCTGATAGACCTCTCAGATCATCAGGATCGAGTGTCTGCAGCTGGAATAAGCTTCCAGAAGTCAGATATGCCCCAAAGGCAAGTCCAGACTGAAAACACTGCTTTTCCCTGTGCTCTTACTACACCTTAGTTGGCAAGCTTGCACCACTTTTCGTATATCCAAATGAATCCAATCCGATTCCAGATTCTGAAAGTTCCGTTTATATGAACCCTAGACTGAAACCTGATTCACATTTTCTTTTACATGTGCATTACATGTATTCTGAACAAAACATCAGCGCATGAGCAGTGTCCAGTCGTCGCGCTGAGAAGTGAAGAAAGCCACCTCGATGTCACTGGAGCTGCCGTGAGTATACTTGTCATTTTGCCTTGATGACATGCCTAAAAGGAAGGCTGACAAACATGTCAGAAGAGCTTTTTTTTTAGTAAATATTTAGTAAATATCGCCTCCTTCTCTGACCAAAACATAAGATGTAAATAAATGTAAAAAAAAAACACTGTACATAAAACGTATGCAAACAGATCTTATAATAAAAGTTTCCAGTAAACATACGCATCACAAAATTTTTGAAGACAGACTTATTTAAGCATTCACATGCTTATTTTTGTTTCCTATCAATCAGATTACTTCAGATCACCCCTTTCATTCGAATCAAACTCAGCCAGATAGATTGAAGTGTTTATGAAGGTGCTTCAAACTAATGATTTTTAAATGAATAGCACTTTGAATTACCATTGTGTTGTAAAATTAACTTGACTTGCATAGAGTAGGGCATAATTAGAAAACGTATATTGAACTGTCCATTATTCTCGCAGACCTCCATCCTCTTAAATTTACTGACCGGATTTGTGCCTAGCTCTTTGGCACTTGGCACATATTCTCCAGACGTTGTTTCCACCATTAGCAAATGTCTTCATATTCCATCAATATTTTATAACCTTCAGGGTTTTATAATGGTTTAGAGAGAGGGACAAAACATAGTGCGCAAGCAATGAGCTAGAAGGAATGAAATGTACCAAACTAGTTTTGCATTTAAGCTCCGTGTAAAAACATTGTTTGATTTGATTTATTTTACAGGTCTAAAACCATGTTTGCATCATTTGATAATGTGAAATAATTCCCATAAACTGCCACATCTATCCTGGTTTTCCAGCAGTGTTAAGCTGTCCCATTGTTTGACGCTTCCAGAGGGTGTGGCATGTTATCTCTTCTACTCATTATGGCCATGAAGCAACCACTGGCACAAATTACTGCTCAGATTGGTGATGGATTTTGGGATATTTTGGGATTCATGAATTTGTGAGCGATTATGAATGCTTACATGTCTGAAAAACATTAATAGCTCCGGATTATGTTTTCTGGATCACACTGAGATGTCATAAATAAACATGAGAAGAGCACAAATTTCCAGTTTTCCAGTCCTCTCTTTTCACAAATCATAACTTGTGCCTCCTGGTATTGTACTGATACTTATGTCATTAATATGGCAACTGATGTACTGGACACTAACAACTCTGTCTGAAAAAAAAAACAGATCAGATTTCATCAACTGCAGCATAATAATGGAGACAGGTCCTCTTAAAAAAAGTCTGCACTTGCACATATTCTTTTAATGATTTCGCACACTTCCTGTAATTGCATATTGCTATTTTGACTTAAGTATGACTTAAGTACATCTTTATATGAAATTTCATAATTACTTCTACTGTCTTGTATGGTTAAAGTGTTCTGCTAAATGTACTAACAAGCATTTATGTTAAACTAAAATATACTTTATTGTTATTTCTATTGAAACGTGTATGTCATGCATTTATATATATATTTGTAATTACACATTTGTAATGATGAAGTTGCGGTTTAGTTTCAATTTCATTTTAAAATATGTTGACTAGAAATGTATTATTGAATAGCATTACAATAAAATTCTAATCAAGTTAATGTATTTCTTTAAAGCAAGACAAAAGATTATTAAACATAATAGTTTAAAATGCAATGTAAAAGAAAAACTTTTAATTTGGCATGATTACAAAGTGTACCTTTTAAAAGTGTACTTAAGTGCCATGAAAGTGTCTCTTTAAGCACTTAAATGGCCTTTTTATGTTATTAAATATTATATTATCTCCAATTAAGAAATGTTTTAAATATACTTTTAGGATTTGAAGTACTACTAGTGCACAAAATCAGATTGGGCGTACCTTGCCTCTTTCCTGTTGCAGTTCATTTTGCAAGTCACTCAATCGGCTCCTCAGTTCTTCATTGGCTGCCTGTAGAGTTTCTATTTCCTGTTTTCCTCTGCTCTTTTTGGGAGGCGGGGCTGATGTGGGCGTAGTTGCAGCCATCCTCCACAAATGCTGATTCACCAGTCAAATCCACACTTCCACAGTCAAATCTCACTCTAAACCTTTTGTAACACTGGAAATCGACCACACCGTCACTGGCATCTTCCTCTTCTCCTGCTGGAAACAGAAAGGGTCGGTCTGTGAGTTCAGCATCCAAAGTGACTGCACACACAGTTGTTCCACTCAGTAGCAAGGGTGTTCCCCTTACACATGCACACAAACTACAGTCAACACTGACATATCTTACACATACGGATCTGAACACTCACATGTGCCATTTGTTCGAGATGGTCCTCACTGCAGAACACAAGATCCAGGGGGCGTGGTTGGATCCAGATCCAACTCCTCCCACCTTACATATACCTAAACCTACCCGTCTCCACCCCCTAGATGTGGCTCCAACCATGCCTTGTGTTCTGCAGTGAGGGGCTACTGATTTGTTCACTGGAATTTGGCTCAGACATATTTTGCATGTTTGTGCCTCCATCTAGTGGTGTCTTATGGTATTACGTGACAATAGACGCAACAATCACTATATGGCCAAAAATAGTCGTCAACCAACCACTTTTTGTTGTTGCTGTTGTTGTTGTGTGTGTGTGTGTGTGTGTGTGTGTGTGTATGTGACAATGCATATGTATATATATGTGTATATACAGTATATATATATATATATATATAGAGAGAGAGAGAGAGAGAGAGAGAGAGTAGTGTGGCTGATGGGCAATATAACAAATGACATCTAAATGAGAAGAAATACACTACAGGTCAAAAGCAACAAAGATGCATTAAATTGTGACACTTAAAGGGGTCATATGAGCTTGAGGTATTCGGCCAATCATAACGCACTGGATAGCTGGCCAATCAGAGCACACCTCGCTTTTCAGATCGATGATCTTTGTCAAAAAAGAACTTTGTTAAAAATCGACGTTTCCGAAAGGTGGGGCAGAGAGGAGAAACAATAATGTACAGTATGTGGAAAATAATGTGTTTTTTTTACTTTAAACCGCATAAACACATTTCATTACACCAAATACGCAAAATAATGTTCTATTTAGCAACATCATATGACCCCTTTAAGACTATTATATTGTTACAAAAATATTACTATTAAAAAAATAATCCTGTTCTTTTTAACTTTCTATTCAAAGAATACTAAAAATGCATCACGGTTTTCAACATTGATAATAATAAGCAAATCAGCGAATGATTTCTTAATGATCAAGTGACACTGAAGACTGGAAAATGGTTGCTGAAAATTTAGCTTTGCCAACATAGGAATAAATTGGTTAAAGTTATTTTAAATTGTAATTATATTTAACAATATTATAATAATGTTTTACTGTATTTTTGATCAAATAAATGCAGCATTGGCGAGCATAAGACAAGAGACTTTTTTTTTTAAATATAAAACTTATCATCACCAAACTTTTCAATGGTACTATAGGTCTAACAAATTAGGGCAACAAATTTATAGCAAAAAAAGAAGAAACAGGAAGTGTGTTATAACTTCAGCATACATTGTCTGATTTTGATGACACTTCAGCAGTTTGTTCCTTGAAGGAGTCTGACACATAGATGTGACTATTGTGAGTCAAAGTTTAAGTGCAACAACAACAACACGCAGCAGGAGGCATCATTTTCAGATTGCTTTAAAATCACTCTCTTATTTTCAGTCCATTTGCTTAACAAGGCAGATGTAAAACTGTGAAGGGATTCTTGATATCTTAAATACTGTTGCCATGGCTACACTTCAAACTTTAGTATTTTTCCCCTATATACTACACCAATTGTAATAATACGATTCGCACCAAACTTTGTCTATATGAAACAAAAACACTAAGGATGTATTATATGTAAGAATGTATTTTTGGATATCTCAAACGGTATTGCCATAGCGATTTATTAAAGTAAGGGCAAAAAAGAAAACAGGAATTGTCTTACATCTTTAAAATGCATTGTTCAAACTACTCAAAACGTTTTACATATGCAGAACTATAAACTATCAGACATTTCAACGGATGGATGAAGACTGTAATACTAAAGCTGGATGGACTAGATGGAGTCATAGCATAAGAAATAATTTATACCTAATCCTTTTTCTGTCTGTTTCTATCAGTACAAATGATAAATACATGCATAAAATCAGTTAATATGTACTGTACTGTCAATTATAAGCATTCACAAATGCTTATAGATCATTATAATCATTTAAAACATTCGTACAGATCATTAAAGCTTTATATATCCTTCCATTTCTGTGTGTAACCCTTTCATTGCTGTAACTCAACAACCAGACTGCCAGAGGGTTAAATGCATTTGACTGCTGTACATTGTTTTCTTGAAGCCACCGGGATCATCGCTGCTTGCAGCTGTATTTTAACACTTATTTTATTTACATTAATATTTACTTACAATTTACTACACAATATTGTAATACAGAAAATGTGCAATAGATTTTGAAACTAGCACTAGATTAACTGATTACTTCTTTTAATTATTGTAAATAATCCGGCACAATTATCAGGAGACACTTTCACCTGATCAACTTTAAATGGCTAAATATTAACTAATTAATCAGCCTTTCCAGTATCACTAATCAACCTATAAAGCTCAGAGTAAGCTTGGTGAGCAGAACTCTTTCAAATCAGGAACACAGGTAATGTGCATTTGATCAAGTCAGCCACCTGCTTTTGTGCTAGTGACTTTTTAAATCTGCCTGATATTGTCTATGGTTTGATATTGTTGGGCTCAACAGTTTTTTTTTCTGCTATATTTCCAGTTAGGCCCATAGTTCAGAATGCCCTGCTATTGTTTTAACTGCCCCCACCTATCAAAAGGAACGAATATGTATCATTTATATAATAAGGTACTAATACACACCCTTTAGGCCAAAAAAATGTACCACCCCTGCAACAGTTTTTGTATAATTTTTTTCTGATTGACATATACAGTATATAATACATACAACATATACACTTGCAATCAAAGTTGTTACAAAATTATGCATTGTAATAATTTTCAAATGTAAGCTTTTCTGAAGATCCATTTTTTTGTGCATCTATGACAATTGTATGGTATATTAAATGTTATAATGGCAATATATAATGTAATATTTTTGAATTACAGGATTTATTATTATAACTTTTTTTTGTAATACAGCTATGTCATAATTATTCAACATTGCTGTTTTTAAGTCACTTGTTTGTATGTTAGGGCACAAAATTGTGTTAAAACACGAGTAAGCCTTTGGAAACTCTATGACAAAACATAAATTTAGCCCATGAATGAGCTGAAGTTGAGAGGCAAATATGGGCAAGTCAAAAGAGCTTTACCAAAAGCTATAGAGAATCAATTGTTTTATTAAGTTATACAGTCTGTGGCTACAAGAAGAAACTAGTGACAGAGCTAGCAGCCTTATGCATAACTTTAAAAGCTGTTGTACCAGAAAACCTTTGAGGGTGTTACAGAAAAAGCACAATATCATCAGGAGGAATAAAATGTTTGATCATTCAGAGCAACTGTAAAAAAAATCTAAATTTACTGACAAAGACTTGCAACGATGACCTGATGAAAGGAGGAAGCAACATTTCAATGTAGAGTATAAGAAGAACACTAAATGAGCATGGCCTTCATGTCAGGACACCTCGCCAAATGCATGCAACTTTTGACCAAGAAGAACGTACAAGGCTGGCTTGAATATGCTAGAATTAATTTGGATAGACCTCTGGAGTTCTGGAAGAATGTTTTATGCAATGATGTGACCCAACTGAAACTTTTGACCCATAGATCAGCGGTATGCCTGCAAGAATCGCAAAGCTTATAAGCAGAAGAACACCATTTCCATAGTCAAACATTGAGTTGGACCGTTATTGTTATGGGGTGTTGTGCTGTTGCAGGAAGTGGAAATCTTGACTGTAGTCAAGTATCAGGCCATTTTGGCAATGATTGTGATGTCTTTGGTGCAGAGACTGAAGCTTGACGATCAATGGACTTTCCTGCAGGATAGCCATCTCAAAGTATACATCCAAATCCAATTATTCTTGGTTCAGGGAACGGTTCTAGAATGCTCTTGAGTGGCCTGTTCAGTCTTCAGATTTAAATCTTATTTAAAATATTTGGTGGAATTTGAATAAAGCAGTGGTAATGAAATTATCAGTGATCTGGAGGCTTTTTCAAGTGAGGAATGGGCCAAGATTGCAGAAGAGAAGTGACAAAGGCTTCTAAGCACTTACAGGCAGCGTTTATTGGAGGTTATAAAGAATAAAAGATTCTGAACAAAATGAATAATTATGCACATGGAAGTTTAGAACCAATCTGATTTTTTTCATCAACTTTACCTTCCTAAATGTTTGCTTTTTCAAGTGAGGAATGGGCCAAGATTGCAGAAGAGAAGTGACAAAGGCTTCTAAGCACTTACAGGCAGCGTTTATTGGAGGTTATAAAGAATAAAAGATTCTGAACAAAATGTGGGGGTTGAATAATTATGCACATGGAAGTTTAGAACCAATCTGATTTTTTTCATCAACTTTACCTTCCCAAATGTTCTCAGATCATTTGAGTGTGTATTAAGAAATGTTCTATAACAGTTTACTGAGACCTTGGTTTAATTGTTTTCATAGAATTTTGTTGTTTGCAGAAAAACATGTTGCAGATCAAGGGAGTTGAATAATTTTGATTGCATTTTTGATTTTGTTTGTTTGTTTTTTGTAATCATATTTAAACAATATTGAATTGTAACTTTATGACCACTATAAATTCATAAACACATTGAGCTACTGTAAATAAATTCAACTTGGTGACATATTTCAAAAAGCAATATTTGCATCAACACTGTTTACTACACAGGAAAAAAAAATGTAAGTTTGCAAGACATAAAAACACATTAATGAATGCAAGACACTGCATGACACTGACAATGACAATGCACTTGCCCAAATCTCCCAGACTTATTGTTAATCTTATTGCTGAGCCTTAAGTACTAATACTGCATCAAAAAAATACAAATAAATAAAAATAAATGCCAGACACAGAGCATCAGGTTAGGAGAGCTTATGACCACTATAAATTCATAAACACATTGAGCTACTGTAAATAAATTCAACTTGGTGACATATTTC